TGGAATTCGGTCCTACAGTTGGTTATCCTACTTTAATCGCCAAACACTTCTTATTAACCAATTATTATTTTATGTTGACAATCGATATTCTTTATACGTTAATTTTTCTTCTTACGACTAAATTACATCTTTATGAATGATACTAATAGATAAACGCGTAATACAATTCTAATATATCAATTAAGCTTGCATTAAACATACAAATATCTATATATCTTATAGAACCAAGTATTGCTTGTTATTTGACCTAGATATGCTTTGAAAGTTGCGCCTTGAAATGTACAAAGTTTGTCCTCGATTTCATGTCAAAAACACAAGATTTCTTGATATGGGAGGGACAAGTCGAGATCTAGGTTTGCAAACCTGCAATTGGATTTGCAAAACAAGCTGCAGGGAGTTTGTTCCCCTTAAGTGCTTCAGCTGAGGTCGACATTTGCTATGTACGACCTGGGTCAATAAGTTTAATAGAATTTGCACTTGGTCTCTCATCTTTTGATCTCATGACTTTGGTCCTTGAACTTGCAAGAATGTTCAAGTCGATCCCCAAGGTTCTTAATTCGTCCTTTTTTTATCCCTTAAGCTTGTGAAACCATCCAATGAACTATCCAAAGCATTCAATCTAGTCCTCGTACTTCCCATTTTTCACACAAACCCATCATTTGTTGCCAATTAAGCTTCAAACAATCATTGACTTTTTGCTTGATTCAACTCCAAATTGGGGTACTAACCTAGGAAAAATTATATACTATTATGAGTCAAAAAATGATAAAATATTAAGTAGATTTAAGAGTTTGGATGAGTGTGCAAATACTTTTATTACAAGTCAATTATAAATGATCCATTTATGCTACGGAACTAACCACACAGTCTAAGTCATTGCTTTCAAACTGTGCAATGTTCCATTACGTCGAATTAACGTTTGACATACTTGATAATATTCAATGGATTTTCACTTCTTTCATTGGATCCATGTTTTGGTTTTTGTGATGAGTTGAGATTAATTAGAGCACGTATTGTGTCATATTGGGAAGCGGATGTAAAGCAATTCTAATTTGTTACTATTTCTTAAAATTATATAAAATATATCTATTAATTAAATGTTAAAATAAGAATTCGACGAAAAACTTGAAAAATATAAGCCCCGTTCGATCCTCATTATTTCAATTTATAATTTTAGGAATAATATTTTTTTTGAAGATTGTGTGGTTAAAAAAAAAAGGAATTTTTTTTAATTTACGTGTAATATTATTTTATGAAAGATTATGTGGTTAAAATAAGAGAGAAAATTATAATTAGATATAATGGGCCAAATGGGGGCTAAATATGACCATTGGTGTAAATGGCCCACTAGAAATCAATTTCAAAGATCAATTTTTACCCATGACAATCCGATTAAAAAAGATGGGTGGGTATATTGCCACCACAATTTTTTTGTGATATGCTATCATATTTTAATTACAATTAAACTTACCAATTTTTGTTCATTGTAGCAATTATTTTTTTAATATTTTTTCTTCAAATTCTTATCTTCGACCTTCCATTAATTAGTACTCTTGTCTTTGATGATAATTTATATCAAAATATTTTATTTTCATATTTTGAAATGAGGAAAAAATATTTTTTGGGACTTTTTTTTTTTTAAATATGATGAAAAAAAGTTGTTTTATGTCATTTCATTGAATTTTTAGACATAAAATTGTTATTACATATAAAATATGTTAACTAATAGAAAGTTTGACAATAAGAATGACTTGAAAAATCGTTAGGGATATAGGTGTTATATTGAGAAAAACTAAGAATTTTAATTATATTTAAAAGGTGGTGCAAAAAATAAAAATAGTGCTAGTTTTATAATTACCCAAAAAAACCGTGAACTCCGAAAATGCCCCTGCATATTTCAGTAATACCACGATCGATGACGACCATACGTTATCCTCATCTAAATCCAACCAACCCTCCAAAAAAATAAAAATAAAAATAAAAAAAATTCTCAAAATCCACGAAAACATGAACCAAACAAAAACCCAAGAAAATAAAAAAAAAAAAAGAAAAACAGAGAAACACTCCCTACGATCAAAATCTTCTGACCATTTTTGCTCGCTCTCTCTCTCTTCAATGGAAACCATTCTCTTCCCTCACTCTTTCTGTCCACTTTTCAAGGCTCCTCCTTTTCCATCTCCCTCTCTTCGACCCAAATTAAGTTCTTGGCTCAAACCCATTTGTTGCACCCTTAAAAATCAATCTGTTAAGCAATCTTTTACCACACCCACAAGTTGGTTTTCTCCAGTGCATCATGGATTAGCAGCGCTTGCCATTTCTTTGGCGCTAAACCTTTGCCCAATACTGCCTAATGGATCTGCATTGGCATCTGAATTTGACGTTTTAAATGATGGTCCTCCAAAGGATACATACGTTGTTGATGATGCAGGTGTTCTCAATCGTGTGACAAAGTCTGATTTGAAGAGATTGTCGTCGGATGTGGAGTCGAGAAAAGGATACCACATTAACTTTGTCACTGTCCGCAAGCTCACTGTAAGTGATTCTATTTGTTTTGCTGCATGTGTTATTGTGTTGGAATAATTAATTATTTCATATGTGGGCTTCATATTGGATTGCAAATTTTACGGGTTAGATGTATGGCTCATAATGATATTTGTGTTTGGATCAAATTTATTAAGTGATCAATTGAGCCTTTTACACCTTACGAGTTGTAATTAATTTTATATGGTAGTTTAAAGTACGTGGGCCGGAAATAAACCCAAATTAGAATTCTAGTCGTAATGGGATGGCTTAAATTATTTTCTATATATAAAAGTTAGGTCCCCTCTCCTCTTCATATATTTTCATTAGCTTGCCCCATTGATGGCTAATACTTTTGTGAGGAGCAAGGAGAGGAAGATTTTGACTGTTATTACAACTACTATTCATATCAACAATGACTTCTGCGGGTATGAATTTGATTTATTAATTTATTATTTGGTGATTCTTGATTTTTAGCATGATTACAGATTAAAATTTAACAATTGGTATCAGAATCTTCGTGCTAAGATCAGAATCCTTTATAAAAACAACACAAATTTAAATTACCTACTGACCATTAAAACTTGTTACGAGAAAGAAACAAAGGTATGCCCAACGTCAAATTTTTTTTTTTAATCAGTTTTTTCTGGTGAAATTGCCAATTGTCATTATTATTATATTTCTCTACAAGTACCAAGAATAATGTGTTGTAGTTTTATTAATTCACGCAGTCAACCAATTTTCTTGCTTTTATCTCTTTCTGTGTATGTATGGCATTCATCTTATTTATATACACAAAATTCCATGACATGATTGACTGTCCACCATATTGTGTTGGAAAGAGTAAAACAAAAACCAAACCAAAACCATACATGAATCAAATTTTTCTCTGTTTGTAAATATCTATATATGTTGCATCTATAGGTTTTGCAGCTTTTTTGCATCCACAGGGTTTGGATTTTGCTTTTGCTAATTAGAGAAAAATTCAGATTTCTGAATTTAAACATGAACTGAATGATTGTTGAAGTTAGGGTTTCTATTGGAGTGAAATTCTGGTATAATTTAGCTCCCGGTTGAGTGAAACAAATAAATAAATGAATAAAATTATTGCTATTTTTTTTTTTTGTGGAAATTAAGATTTTCGCATCGTGGATATCATAAACTTTTATTGGATGCACGGAAAAGTTTTATATTTTGGATTTTGGAGCATGTTTTGGTCGGCTATGGTAGATTTCGGGACGGGAGCCTCTCTTGCAATTTATGAGATTAGAGGCTCCTTTTCTGCAATTGAAAATTGGGGTCAAAAATTGGGGTCAGGTTGCAATTATTTAAAGGGAGGGCCTGCTTGTAATTTGAGAATTTGGAGGACCTAGTTTTAATTTTAAATTTAGGGTTAATTTCAAATGGTTTTAAATTTGAGCTTGCAAAGGTTTTGACCCTTAAATTTCAATTTTGACCCAATTAATGACCAGATTAAAATTATATTTAAAAAAAATTTAATTGTGATTTTTTATATTCTCATCAAAATGTTTGTGCATTTAAATGTCACTATTCTGTGTGTGCTTAAAATATATATATATATATATATATATTGAAATTTTGTTGTTAATTTCATCTCTCAATCACATATGAATTTTTACCTTTCATCAATTGCCGATTATAATTTAATACAGAATTATTATTCTGTGATTAAATTTTTCATGGGCTTTTGAGACGATCCTTATTTTCCCACAAAGAGAAATATTTTGAAATAAAAATAGGTGGTAGCTGCTAAAGTGGCACACTCATTATTATTTATTCGATTTTCTCTACAATAATAAATATATATTTGCACAACAATTATGATTGATTGCATATAAAATCTTGCCCAAAAGTGTTGTTATATGTGATATTTTTGAAAAATGGCATAAGGCAGTTAACGAGCTTATCTTGGTCTAAAAATTTCCCTTCTGCCCAAAGGTGTTGGTTGTTTCGAAAATTAATGTAATTTTGTTAACTAACTATGTGATGTGTTTTTAAGAGTACCTTATAGCATGTTGTATTGTCAACCCAAAGGTGACTTTATGATGATGCACCTAGGCTCTTACTGTAATAAAATTCATATGTTTCGATTTAAATTACGGATTATCTAATTAATTGCCCATATTAATTAGTTAGATATTTCATCATCCATTTGATTGCATGCATTATGTTTGGATGATATTAAGTGTGATATTTTACGTTTCCACAGTTTATAATGCCTCATCTCTTTCGAATCAATTGTCTGCTATTGAAACTTTGACTGGGAATAACTATGTAAGATGGAAACGAGACGTAGAAATAGCACTTGGTCTTTTGGGCTTGGATTTTGCAATGGAGAAAAAGCTTGAAAAACCCACAGATAAGAGTACCGTTGAATATGTAGCCGAGCATGAAAAATGAGAAAGGGCTAACAAACTCTGTTTGAAAATCATTAAGCGATCGATATCTGATTCCATTCTAGGTGTCATCCCTGATAATGAAAATGCCAAAAGTTTTATGGATGCCATAGGAGAAAAATTTGTTGAGTCTGATAAAGTCGAAACTGGGGATCTGATGGATAAATTGATGAGCATGAGATATGATCGCACAAATGGTGTTAGGGAGCATGTCATGAAAATGATAAATATATCATCTAAACTAAAGGCTCTTGACATTCCCATTGTGGAGCCTTTTCTAGTCTATCATGTTTTGAATAGCCTTCCTAGCAAGTTTAATCAGCTTAAGGTTGCTTACAATGCTCAGCGGGATAAATGGAATTTGAATGACCTCATAGCAGTGTGTGCCCAAGAAGAGTATAGGATGCACCGTGAAACTGTTGAAACTATACAACTAGCTTTTCAACCATCACAGAATAATGGGCCTTCTCATAATCATAAATCTTAGTTTCATAAGGGTAATAAGTCCAATCGAAGTCAGCAGAATAATAATTTTAGTGGTCCCAAAGCAGTTATAAAGAAAAATGATCAATGCAACTTCTGTAAAAAGAAGGGTCATTGGCAGAAAGACTGTTTTAAGTTCAAGACTTGTTTGGAAAAGAAGAAGAGTTCTTCAGGTATTCTCTTGGCCTTAGTTTGTTTTGAGTCTTCTTTAGTAGATGTACCTTTGAATTCTTGGTGGTTAGACTCGAGAGCTAGTATTCATATTGCGAATTCCTTGTAGGGGTTCATAAGCAAACGGAGGCCAAGAGAGAATGAAGTAAGCTTGAGCGTTGCAAATGAATTCCAAGTGAAGGTTGAATTCATAGGAGTAGTGAAGTTAACTTTAGAGTCTGGTTTTTATCTTGTTTTGGAAAATACAGTTTATGTACCGCAGATGAGACGGAATTTAATTTCTATACCAAAGCTTAATGCTTGTGATTTTACATTTAATTTTGGTAATGGAATGATTAAGTTATTTAATTATTCTCGTTTGATTGGGAATGACATTTTCTGTGATGGTTTATATAAATTATTTTGGCTTCTTTTGGTGATGTCTCGTGCGTTACAAATGTATCAAAGAAAAGGGCTTTAATTCGTGAATCATCCTCTATGTTGTGGCATAAGCGATTGGGTCATATTTCTAAGGATAGAATGGAAAAATTAGTAAAAGATGAGATACTTCCTTTCTTAGACTTCTCCGATTTTGACACCTGTATAGATTGTATAAGAGGAAAGTTAACTAAGTCTACGAGGAAGGGTTCGACTAGGAGTAATGGAATTTTGGACATAATTCAAGGTTCAACTAAGAGTACTGGTATTTCAGACTTGATACATACTGATATCAGTGGACCTCTGCCTTCCACTAAATATGGGAACAAATAGTTCATAACCTTTATTGATGATTTTTCACGATATGGATATGCCTACCCAATTAATGATAAATCCCTTACACTTGACAAATTAAAGATTTTTTAAAATGGAAGTAGAGAAACAATGTAGAAAAAGTATCAAAGTTGTAAGGTCTGACTATGGTGGTGAGTACTATGGGAAATATGACGAGTCTGGTCAAAATATGGGTGATTTTGCAAAATTTTTACAAGAGTGTGGAATAGTACCCCAATACACCATGCCAGGGACACTTGAGCAGAATGATGTTTCTAAAAGACGTAATCGAACTCTTAAAGATATGGTTAGAAGTATGATGAGTAGAACAAATTTACCTGAATATTTGTGGGGTGAAGCCTTGAAAACAGCTATGTATATTTTGAACAGAGTTCCAAGTAAAGCTGTTGCAAAGACACCTTTTGAATTATGGACAGGATGTAAGCCAAGTATGGCTCACTTTAAAGTTTGGGGATG